AGAGGGCAGGTGAATTTCTCAGATGTTTTTATAGTCTTCTGAAATTGAGACAACTGCCCAATCATCCTGAAGTAAAATGAAGACGAGTGGTATTTTTGTATCTCACTTGCATTTTTATTTTTTGGCTTAGAAAGTGGAAAGAGGCAGGGCAACAAACATACTGAGGGCCGGAGGACAGGAACACACAGCACTCCATGTGATTTAAGCTGCCTTGAGACAAGAACCAGTTTGGGAGGAAAGTAATGGGGGGGGGGTTGTTCCTGTAAGACCTCAAGTGTTGTCAGGTGACGAACATAGAGTAGAGCAACATAGCCTCCAACTGACAGGCTTGGGTGATACCCAAATTATCATCCTCAGAATAGACCCACTGAAATAAATGCACAGTTTCACTGATTTCAGAGGGTCTGCTCTGAGTCTGTCTAATGCTGACCAGTTGGGACAATGAAAGTGTTTGCAAGTGCCTGTTCTTCCCCAGGGAAAACTGCCTAGGAAAGCATTAAGAATCCTTAACCTCGGTAAATATCAAGTATTGCTATGATACAAGTGAGATTTAATTAGTCAAAAAGGTAAAGCCAAAGACATGCCTAACAACCTAGATAAATGCACATAACGTTCCCAACCAAGTTTGTACCTGCTTAGCTTCAACAGTGCTATGTAGTAACAGGTGCTCCTAGACTATTTACTGGTCATACTCAGAGATCCCACTTATTTCATTTATCTGAGTTAAATCCCTAAGTGCATGTTAAAAGCAAAATTTCAAATGCAGTTCATAATACTCTAGAGTTTGTTTGTTTGTGTAAATCGCTTTTCAAAATGAAACAATGCCAAACTGTTATTAACCTATGGATGGAGATCAGATACTGTAGTTTTGGATGCAAATGTATAGTAGCAAGCTTATCAGCTGTTTTACAAGACTGAGCAGTAGCTTGTCTTTGGTTTCGTTTGGTGTTGCACAACCTCTTACAAAACATGTGTTGCAATCCCCAGATTGTTTAGGATGGCTCAGTGAGGGCAAAAACGTTTTCACAATCCTTTAGGTCAGGCTCACATGGATAAAAAGTGAGTAGAAGGTGGTACAAAAATTATAAAACAAAGGTACATAAATTCTTAAGAGCAGTAGTTGCCTAGCCTGAGGATCTGGAGTTACTAGATTTGCAAGCAGAGTTGCATACTCCTGCTTTTCCCTATATCATGGAATGAGAGACCTGAATTCAGAAACAAAGCAAGTGGCCTTTTGTAAGTCACTATCTATTGGACTTCAGACCTCCAAGTGATAGAGAATAATGTGAGGACTTATATGTTAGAAGCACTTAAAAAAATTATTCATCATCAGTGACACACAGCTCCTCCAGCTCTGTTGCACAGTGTGTGTCCTCTGAGTTTTATAATACTGCCTCTGACGCTGCCAGGAACATGTTAATTGGGTGACATGAGTAGGAAAGCCCTGTATTACAAGACTTGTCAGTTTGCATACAACACCTAATTAAGGCCAACACTCCAATGTTCTTGAACATTTATTACACTAGTTGCATTTGTCTTTTCAGAGAGAGAGAGAGAGAAATTGTTAACAGAGGCTAGTATATTTTGTAAGTAAAAGTAAATGGGAAGACAGAAAGAACCTGCGTGGACTATATTAGTATTAATGGTTCGCTGAGGTCAGATACAAATATAGCTAAGGAATTCTGTGTGTCAGATTTTATATTCAGCTGTATAGTCAGATCACTTATGCCTGAAAGTTCTACCAAGAAAATACTAGAAAAGATCTGGAATTTCACGACAATGAGACAAGCTATAGTTAATGAACAAGAAGGATGAGGGGAGGTAGCAGTTTCTTTCCATAGGAACCAATCAGTTGATAATGTAAGTATTATTGTTGTGAGTGTGTAAAACTCATCTATAAAAGTTACAATTATAGGCGTCTGCTTACATGGCACTTTGGGAATCTGTTTTTATGAAGGACTGATTGAAATTAAAGTGAACTGTGGCTGATTACATAAGGCTTATTTTTTGTAATTTTAATATTTCACGTTGTGAAAGAATGAGAAACAGTAAAATATTGAACACTATCTGGACATAGGAGAAATTGGCACAGTTCAGACATACTGTATTGGCCTGAATATAAGCCTCACTTGCCCCCCAAATTTTCCGTGAAAAGTTAAAGTGTGGCTTATATTTGCAACCTTACGGTATGCAGCCAGGAGCGTGGGGCAAACAGCAAACAGCAGCAGGAACGTGGGAAAGCAGCGCCCACCCCCTGCATAGTCCCCCGTCCTCTCCCCCAAGGCCAGGAAGGGAGAGAGCGAGGAAGGGGAAAGGCCACCAGCAACACAGCACAGCTCCTCCCCCCCCCCCCCGTTATGCAGCCAGGAGCACGGAGGAATGGAGCGGCTTATATTCGGGTATTTTTTCTTTTTCCTCCTCCAACTTTAAAGGTGTGGCTTATATTTGGGTGCTGCTTCTATTCGGGCCAATACGGTAACACTTGCCACTCTAACGATGGTGAGGAGCTTGGCAGTGTTTCTAGGGGACGGCAGCTTCCACCTGCTTTTACTCGCATGAATTCCCCATGGAATGCTTCATTAACGATAACCTTAATCTTGCTAACCAAAATCTTCCCTGGTGACCAGAGTCCGAACCCAGGGCTTGAAGCAACTTACAAACCCTTGTGGTGAAGCAATGTGATTAACTTAATTGGACTAAAACAGTTTGTTAGCACTACAGACCATGGAAGGGAGAGGAATTCATGTTGGAGAAGGGAGCATTCAAATCTATAGCATGGTTGAAATCTCATAGACTTCCACACACACTTGAATTTCCCAGCTCCTTGTTGCTCTGTTGATCCAGATGTGAAGTCGTGCCACCCTGCACCTCCACTTTTATGCAGTATATCTTCTACCCCTACAGTTGCCCTAGCAACCCAGAGTTCCATAGCAGCTTTTCATGTAGTGGCTTTCTCAAGATTTATGGGCCGGGGTATCTTAGCAATCAAGACATCAAAATGGTAGTTGCTTAGATGTAATGTACACCAAAATGGATATCAAGCACATCATTATAGGATACATTATTATAGTATTCTGGAACTATTTTGTTCAGGCCTCATTTCCCCCCATTAAATTATTTGGGGTTGTTTCCAGCTACTCAACGTAGACCTACTATTCTGAATAAAATTAACTTGGATACAACCCTTTATTTTATTTGTATTTTATTTTTTTTTAAATGATATTTATTGAAAATTTTAAAATTACAAAAGAGAATAAAAAAGAAAAAAAGAAAAAACAAAGAAAAGACAAACCAGTCAAACAATACAGATTAATAAAAATCAAAATCAAAAAATAACACGACACAATTAAAAAACAAAAATATACCACAAACATTTAAAAACAAATCCAATATTCTCATATCTTTAACTGTCATTACCTTCTTTCTTTGACCTCCTCCTCCTCCCTTTTTTTGTATCCTGATTATTAATTGTCACAGCAAATCCTTTCCATATTTCATAATATTCTGTCATTACTTTACCTTAATCTATTTTAATCTTATCTTACTATGAAAACCTTAAAACTTAAAACTTAAATCTTATTTTTACCAATTTCTCATAACCATAATATTCTTTCATAATTCTTTAAACATTTTTGCTAAAGCCGAATAATTTCGTTCCAACATTTTTCTAACATTCATCAATTTTATAAAACAATCATAATAAAAGAAATAATCCAATCTTCATCCAGCGTCTCTTCCTCCTGGACCCGGGTTTTGTCAGTCCTTTCTATCCCATCAATCTAGCGCATTAACCTGGTAACCTTATGTCCAAGGCCCTTAAGTCTCGTCCATGTCCCTTCCGCAGTTCTTCTTCATATTTATAGCTATATTTTCCTTTATCTCCTACTTCTTTCACTCTTGGGAACTCCAGCTTGACAATGCTTTTGACCCTTCTCGACAAATCAGCCCCTTTTCCATAGTCCCCACTAAGTTCCATGTGGTATTTAAGAACATGTTTCAAAAACCCTCCAAAATTGAGAGCCCCCACAACCCCAAACATCTCACGGCCCATTGCCAGACTCGAAAAGTCCAAACCTCCCTGCATAGGGGGGTCTATCCAACCCCCCATTTCCAAACCAAACCAAACTTTATCTTTCCAAATCTGGCTTTTTCGAAGTTCATTTGTCAAATCCAAGAATTCATGTTCCTGCTGGGCCGCAGCTCCCTCCATCCCTGGTGCCCAAGATTCAGCAACATCCTCTTCCCTCATCTGTTCTGTCAGGGCACACTCCTGATCTAATTCCTGGGTGGGCGCTATATAATATCCCACTGCCTGTCCAAAATTTCTAATCGCATCAGTCATAAAATCCGTCTTCTCATGTAGCTGTTCCAGTAGGGCACTTGTTTTACAGAAAGCACTCAACAGAGCTTCTGAATACATTGTCCTGCAAGGTCAGAAGTCTATTCCCACGATCGTAATCTGTAACAGCTGCGAGCTTCCCAATTCAAAATTGGTTACAGTTTCACAGGCTCCCTCTAGGGGAAAAACGTCTGCTTGTTCTTTTCTTTTAAAAACAAATCTAACAACAAAGTTTCCTTTTTCAGATATTTTGTCAATATTTGTTCCTTTAAAATGCGAAGGGGAACAATGGAATCACTATGTATCTCTTCCTTTAGCTATCTGTCAAAAACGTTTGTCTCTGGTCAATGAGCTTCAAAGAACGTCAGTCCTGACACCCCGCTCCAGGATCAAGACGGTGGAAAGTTACTTTACTTTACACTCACTTCTGCAGGTTTAAACAGTCCAGAAAAATATCCCCCCTCTTCTCCTGCTTCCGAAGGGGTTCCACAATTTTAAATGATGAAAGTTAATCCTTTAGAAGCGATTTTCAGAACTTTAGTTTGCTGTGTCTTTGCTTTAATCTATCTACAAAGAAATGGAAGGCTGACTTCCTGTTTAGACCTTCCCGTTTCAGTGCCAAATTAAATTAAACTTTTAAGTCCAGTTTTCCTTTCTGCTCACAAATCCTTATTTAGAGTCCAATTGTCCGAAACTTAAGTACTCACGGGTGGTTGTTTTAAAAGCCAAATTGTCCCAGGAAAAAGGCAGCACTCTCCGGCAACGGCTGTGCGGCTTCGCTCCACGGAAGAAGCAGTTGACTCTCAGCACCGCGCCACTTCCCCCTCTTCGCTCCGGAGCCCGTTAGTGGGTTCCTTTGCGGGTTGGGGGGGTGCTAAAGGTGCCCGCCGAGTCCCATGGTCACAGGCTTCATCCGCCTGTGATTTTTGAATGGGTCCCCGCTTCGCCGTAGCGGAAAAGACCCGATTCCCGTGGAGCTGGTCCCTCCAGTTCAGAGGCAGTCTGCCATTGCCGATGGCGCCACCCCGGAAGTCACCTTTATTTTAGAACTGTATATGTGTGTGCTGTTTTACAAAACACCATACTCCCCGCCCTCTCCCCGAAAAAAAGGTCAGGATCCATGTACAGAGGAGCTAACTCTCTAAATTTTGCCAATGGTGAAAATATCAAAATAAGGGGAGGAAATAGAAGGAAAAGGATGAGAAGAGATGAAGGTAACAAAATGTAGTTAAGTCTTGTTTCAACTGGGGATGAGCCATAGCTGGAGAAAGCAAATAGGTGTCACAGAAAAACAGTTAACTTCCAAAAGAGTATAAATCTAAATAGCTCTGTTAACCATTGTAGCAAAAATAATGGGTCTTGTAGCACCGTAACAGGCAAATTAACTATTGCATATGCAGCTCCAGTCCACTTCATTGCCTCCATGAAGTGTTACTCTTAGTTGGCAGGTAGATCTACATATGACATGGGGAGGAACAGTAAACAGTCAATCAAACGGTGATAAAATGTATGTGACAATTCAGTTAAGTGGGCATTCCCAGCAGAAGTATTAGGTGAAAACATTCTAGCACTGCTAAGTAAATTAATACCTTCGCTGTGACGGAAGCTGTGTCCTTGTTCATGCCTTGAATGCGGGAATTAAATTTTTTTGACATTTCTAAGCCAGCAGTTTCATGCCGGAGTTTGGAATTCTGGCGTAAAAGAATGGCAATTTTTAGATCAGCTAAGGAGTGTCCTGAAAACTGTAGTGCATTTCTGTTGGTGTCTGAGTGCTGTTATTTCTGGAACTCGGATTTGTGATCACTTATTCTTTTACACAGACTGACCTGTGTGTCATAGGACATAGAACGCAGAAGGGCATTGCTGGCAAGCGATAGTATATAACAGATAAGGAGAGGAGCAAGTGAATGAATACTTGATGTGACTGCTCATGTCATTAGGTCCTATAACATTATTGCCAGGGTAGATGTGGGGATAGAGTTGCCGTCTGGATTTGTTGTGGGATCTGATCCCTGTGTTTGTTTCTCTGGTTTGGCACTGGTTGTGTCTGGTTGCTAAAAGTGGTGAGTTTTAGAGTAAGGGAGTGACTGCCTGTGAGCAAGGACAACCATTGATTACTGTGACAGAGAATTGTTGCTGTAGATCTCGGATGGGATGTTGATGCGCTGCGGTGATTTCAGCTGGGAGATCTTGATAACAGCCATTGATGTATTAAGGATAGGAGAATCTAACAATTTTGATTTCTCTGTTTGTCATCTTTCCAATCCTAAATTTGGTCCTCCATGTTCCCAAATCAAGTATTCTTTATTTTAGAAATAAAGGTCCTCATAAAAATTCACCAGCTATTTAGTGTGAATTTCTTCTAATATGAACACGTTTCTAACACTAAATCACACTGAATTGCTGGCGAATTTTCTATTAATGTTTAATTGTTTTTTAATGATGGTCCCCTAAGTTTTTAGGTGTTTCTATTTTAGCTGTAAGCCACCTTGAGTGCCTGACAGGGAAAAAGGTGGGAAACAAACAAACAATTTTTTTGTAAAGCTTTTTTTTTGCAAAGCAATGTAATACATGTTTCTATGTTTCCCCTAATACAGTGGTGCCTCTGGATACGCACCCCTCTGGTTGTGTATCCTTCGAGTTACGCACTCAGCAAACCTGGAAGTGCTCTACGTGCTGCGTGCATGCACAGAGCAGGCACCTCCGGTTGCAAATTCCTTGGGATCCGACCGGAGCTCCAGAACGTATTCCCGTGCGCAACCGGAGGTACCACTGTATGTGCATTTTATGCACACCTTGCCCTGGTATATGTAATTTTGTACACATTACTTAGTTGGAGAACTGCACTGGAAAATTTGGAAAAGTGTGGGTTTTGGGAGATGTCTTTGTATTGGTTCTTATATTGTTTTGAAATGTGCGGATCATGTAGATTCACCTTTAAATGCGACTGAATCAAATTTCTTCTGCATCTCTAGTTTCTTAATCTATCCTGATCCTGAAGTAGAATATTCCAGTGGTACCAGTTTGAAATGGTCAATCCATTTTTTTCACTTCACTAGAAGGGGAAAGTGAAACTAGTGAGGAGGATTGGTTGTGTTCAGGCATGACACAAAACCATGGAGTCTGGATGAGCATCAAGCTCATTCTCTTCCCTCTTTACTCTCCTCTGGTACAGCTGTGAGGAGGTAATCCTTCCTTAGATCATAGCACTTGACAGCTATGTCCAGATTTGGCTATAGTGGATAGCCATGGTTAGTGGGAAATGGAAGTGAGAGCTTCTAATCTCTTTGCAATCACACCAGAAGAAGAGAGGGGAAAGGGAAGCACACAAGTTTGGAGGCTCATGCACATAAAGTAAATCCCTAGATTAGCCTTAAATGTGAAGCAGACCATCATGTAGATATTATGGAGGAAATTTTAGTCACATGAAGGAGAATAGGCAGAATATAGGCACTGTGGTCTAAACCAGAGCCTAGGACTTGCCGATTGGAAGGTTGGCGGTTCGAATCCCCACACACGGGGTGAGCTCCCATTGTTTGGTCCCAGCTCCTGCTCAACTAGCAGTTCAGAAGCACATCAAGTGCAAGTAGATAAATAGGTACTGCTCTGGCGGAAAGGTGAACAGTGTTTCCATGTGCTGCTCTGGTTTGCCAGAAGCAGCTTAGTCATGCTGGCCACATGACCCGGAAGCTGTCTGCGGACAAACGCCTGTTCCCTCGGCCTATAGAGCGAGATGAGCGTGCAACCCCAGAGTCATCCGCAACTGGACCTAACAGTCAGGGGTACCTTTACCTTTACTTATTCTGACTTAGATGGTGGTGATGATTTAAATGATGATTTAAATTTAAACTTCACCTGACTAAATGTTACTCACACAAATCGCCATTTAAAGTATGACCAAGAATTAAATTTCTAGTGGATTTGAGATCAGTGACTTGTGATCAGTGAGGTTTGTTGTTGTTGTTGTTGTTGTTGTTTTGCACTAGCAGTTGAGCCGACATATGAAATCAATATAGCCTCGTAATTGGTGATGTAATGTAACCTGTCTCCGAGTCATGTGTCAAAATGAGTATCCAGGTTCAGGAATTGGTTTACTTTGAAAGCTTTTGGAAGCATACAAAATAAAACTTCACTGTAACCCAATTCAGGTGTTACAAGCAGGTATGAAAGCAGAAATGTACCAATCTTGCTTTACAATAAGATCCTTAAATCTGAGGGTGGAGAGAGGAGGTTTGTCCTCTTCTTGCCTTGTTTGTATGCTGCAGCCAAAGCAAGAAATTTCCTTACTTGTTATAATATCCCAATTGCTTTTGGATAACTTTCTGAATTATCATTACCAGACAATATCTCCAGTATTTTAGTCCTCTTTTCTGGTATCCAGTTGTATCAGTGACCACACATATCGGCATAGACCTTTCCTAATCAAATCCTTCTGTATGCAGTTCTACTAACTTTTAACAGAGACAAGGAGATTCATGTTCCCAACCTCCTCCTTTAAAACGCAGTAATCCATTTTATGACCCATGTTATAAATTGTAATTTACCATTCCAAGCCTCAATTTATTAAGTAATTGGCAGGTGTTCTTTGCTTGTTTTGATTTTTAAGTACTTTTTTGTCCAGTAGGTTTTCTGCCTATGATTGCCATTTGTATAATGATGATATTAGAACAGAGTTAGGAAGAAGAAAGAAAAGATCACCTGTTTCTTTTACATATATATTTTTAATCCATTGTTAACATTTTGTCTTTTTTACATGTGAATGTAATTTGCACAAGAATGCCTATTATATTTTTGATTAGGGGCTTGTGCCTGTCACTACTCTACTGAAGTCAAGAAATTTCAAGAGAACCATAGTTGGGAGGAGAAAAATGAGAGGTAAAAAAGGATGAGATAAGAAACTAAGGTTAGTGGTAACTCTTAGAGTACTTGGTAGTACAGTACAATATGAATAATATTTCTTCCCCACCCCAATTTAATAATAGAATGGGGATATTAACAGATTAGGGGCGTCTTGATCTTGTGCCTATGGAACTGTTCCCCTGTAATCCTAAAAAGTGGAGAGATGACATTCTGCAGTGAAGAGTTGTTTTTAAACCGAATTGTTTTTGTAAATAACATGAGAATGTAGATAAGATTACATTCGTATTGCACGTTCTAACTGTTTCTTCTACACATTTATTCCATTCTTTCAAAGAATTACATAAAATAAGAGTTCAGAGATGTACTGGGTTTTGTTACGTACCCTAGGCTTCTGGACCAATGTTTAAAGTATACTTCCTTTGTACGATTCTATAGCTTTTGATAGCAACAAAGAGAAAAAGGGGCCTTCTGTGCCACTTGTGACAGCTTTTCACATCAGAGGCAGGGTGCAGTAGCAGATTATAATGGCAAGACAATGTGACTGGTTAATGGATTAAATATGATACTTCAGGAAACAAAAACATCAATTTCTTTATCCTTCAGTAGCTGGGGAAAAATAGATTCCTTATCTTTGAAGTTTACTTCTGTTTCTGACAATTCATGTAAGTTTCTTTTATATTAATTCCCATCTGTTCTTGCTGACAGCTATGAATTTGTTTATTTAAATCACAGCTTATCATATTTAGCCTTTTTCAGGGATGGTCTTCTTCCACACACAAAAGCCTTGTCATATAAATAGTGTCCAAAATGATCAGCTACCTCTGTAATTTCTGAGCCCAAAGAAAAATCCCTCTCCCCCTCAAAAAAGAAATTTGGCTAGAAGAAATCCTGGTTATGGAAACCCAACATTTTGGTCCTAATATGTGAATTATATTTAAATTATGACTTCTTTGTAATGAAATGCCTGGTTTTTTAAAATCTGTCTAAGCAAGATTCATTGGTTATCCTTTCAGTGTTCAAAAATAAATAACATCTGTAGGAATGCATCTACATCTCTTGAAATGCAAAGCATTCGAGTAGGAATATGATTTGTTAAAGTGGTCCTTTGTGCGGTTGACTTCACTTCGGTCTTTAGTTTTGTGCATTCTTTGCAGTCCGAGCTGATGCCAACAAAAGTTTTTTTGTGGACTTTAAAGAGGTTTGCACATTGCAGTCCTTTTGTTCAAGGCATAAACCTAAGAATCTGTTGTTGCATAAATACAGATCTGGAGGTTTGACCACTTGGACTAAGCAGATGGGGGTTTAACTAGTGGCATGCAAAAAATAAAGAAAAGAACACCCACAAAAGGCAAATTATCAATTGGATATTAGAAAGGATAAAAACAAAAACTGGGAACAAGTCCCATTTTCTGTCAAAATGTATCAAATTTGTTCAGATCAGTGGAAATGGGGACTTTACAGCTTTCCCCATTCAGTGATATTCTTCCACACATCCTGAAAAGTCACCCCTGCAAGTCAGGGCATCAGGCTGCTAAGTGTGAGGTATTGCCATCAGAATGGGAAACATATATATATTTGTTTCCTTTTTAAACTACCCTTTATCCCATAGTATCCCATCACAGTTTACGGCATAATGGTTTAATAGTTTGAGTGTCAGACTAGGGTTTGAATTGCCATTCATCCATGAAACTCTCTGAGTGACCTTGTTCCCATCAATGCTTCTGAGCCTACCCTGACCTACAAGGTTTGTTGTGGGATTAAATGCAGTAAATAAATAAAATAATTGGATGCAATTAAACAGCACAGAACAATATTTAAAACCTCATCTAAACGAATTTCAGTCATAAGCGGTCAGAACTGTTGGGATAATATTTGCCTCCCAACAGCCTGAAGGAAAAAAATCTATCCTTTCAGTTAATGTCAGAAAGCTCACTATGAGGGGATGTCTGTACTTCCACAGCAGCCAAGAAACACTCTATCCGTGTCACCACCAAATGACCAGAGCCTCCCTTGCAGTTCTCAGGATTTTGGTTGGCAGATAGGGAGAGACCCCATTGTCTTATGTTTTGTTAGCATTACCTATATAACTAACGTAGGCAGAACAGGGTTTTTTTAAAAAAAAAATCACAGCTGTGGTTTGGGTTTTCTTTAAATAAATAAAGAACTTTATAAGCAGCTTAATATTTCAAAAACCTCTTAGCGATGTGCGACAACCACATAAAAGCAAGAATTGGGGGGACTCAAACAGATAAAAGCAGGGTCAGTTCTTACGGAAACGTTTTGAAGGCATAACGCCAAGATACTTAATACTTTGCACTTGTAAAGTGCTTTCAAGTGTTCAAAGTGCTTCACATGCATCATGTACAGTGGTACCTCGGGTTACATATGCTTCAGGTTACATACGCTTCAGGTTACAGACTCCGCTAACCCAGAAATAGTACCTCGGGTTAAGAACTTTGCTTCAGGGTGAGAACAGAAATCGTGCTCCGGCGGCGCGGCAGCAGCAGGAGGCCCCATTAGCTAAACTGGTGCTTCAGGTAAAGAACAGTTTCAAGTTAAGAACGGACCTCCGGAACGAATTAAGTACTTAACCCAAGGTACCACTGTAACCGGAATCCTTACAGCAGCCCTGTAAAGTAAGTCATCATCTCCCATATTAAACAAATGGCTTGGATTTCCTGAGGCCACCCGGTAAGTTAATGACAGAGGTGAGGGTCAGAAGGTAGGCTTGATTATTCATGTCATGGCTTATTCACTATGGTGCACCAGCTCTCACAATACACTTAGATAAACCTTGCAGTATTGGTTGAAAAGAACGTAATGCCTCAAAGCATAAAGACATGAGAAATAGTCAGATGTTCCCGTAGAATAAGCAGGATGTGAAGGTCCTTTTTGCTGTTACTGTTTGTGTTTTTAAAACCTATATATACACAAGTGCAAATATATGCTTGAGGGGCAGTTATAATTTTCTTTACTCCACAAAGGCACAAAAAAGTAGGGGTTTAAATCTGCAAATTCCCTAATTTGTGCTGGCCTTGCAACATTTTTGTGTATGTGTAGTTATAATCAGGAAAGAGCAAGCTGGAACAAATGCTGCAAATGTATGCAAATGAGAGGGAAAAGAGAGATTGCACAAATAAAATGGTATCTAATATAAGGGAATAGATAATTTAGACAAACAATAGCTCAAATTTAGATAATTGGAATACAGCAAAAACTAGAAATCTCAAGCTTGACTTGTTTTTTTAAAGCCTAGTAGGACTTTAAAAAGCAGAGTTGGAGTAAAATTAATTATTAGCTTTTAGAAATATGTTTCAAATTACAGCTTTTTAATATATTTTGTCAAGTGCAATTTTTTGTCCTGTATTTCTAAATCTTTTTATTTCCAAATAACACCCTTAAACTACTTGTATTATAGGAAGTTCACAAATATTGGAGAGACTGATTCATGTTTTCTGTCCTTAACGTATGAAAATACCCAGGAAGCATTGCGTGCAGACAAGACCAGTCCTGTATTCAAAACTGCCTTTAAAAACCAGCAAGTAACATAATACGTGAATAACATAAGAAATTTATATTTCAACATTTCCCCCTCCCCTTATTTATTGGTGCGACGCATCAAGAAACCCATGGTAGTATAATTCCACAAAGCAAAAATGATATAATGCCTTTCAATCACACAAAGCTATGGGCAAGTTTCACTGTGGCTTTTATGTTCTTAGTCATTGTTTCTCTGTCCTATAATGACTTGGTACAACCTAAATTCTTTGTACCTAGCATGCTTCAGTCCAATTAAATCTCCTACTGAACACCATCTCTCCTCCTGCTCCCCACTTTCTTTTTGTTTTCCTGAAGAAGAGTTCCGAGGACCCGGAAAGCTTGCTCACTATTTTGTGACATTAGCTGGACTCTGGGGTTTCTTTTTTATTTTAATTATATAGATATGTTTTAGGGACCAGTGACCCTAAGTTCTAGTTGAATCCAGTCAGGTTCCTAAAACGGGGCGGACGGGGGACTAACCGCACTCTGAATTATCTCAGTGATTCAGTTGGATAAAGTAGTGTGGTTCTTATACTCCACTCTTGCCAAATTGAAAATTGCTGAGGGTCTTGGCGTACCACTTACTGGTGTGTTTTTTTGGAGAGGGGGGTTGGATGTTGTAGCAATTGCATTGTGCTGTGCCAGATGCTGCATAATACTTAATAGAATTTGTGTGCTTCTTTTATATCTCAAATAATGAATTTTAGTGTATCACAAAAGCCAGAAAAAAATCAATAATCAGTAGTAATAATTAAATGTGATAGATGCCCATCTCCCATCTTCAACCGCAAATTCTCAGATAACGGTAGGCATGGACCACAGTTTGGGAACCCTTAGTCTAAAGAACAAGTAATTAGGATTCTTGTGGTGCATCTAATAGGAGAAGTTCTACGAAAAGGAAGCTTTCTCATGCTGGCTGAATCAGACTCAAAAACAGCTGCTTGGTTGGTTGCACCTGGTCACAAACTATTTTTGGACACATTGTGCTTGGAATCCCAAGATTTTTATTTTTATTTTTATCTCTGGCTGTAGAAAAAGCAGTGTGAAAATATGATTGCTTTGTGAATCCTAAGCAACATTTTCCTAAGCAAAGCTATTTCATTCAGGGTTAGCCTCCAGTTTTGTTTTGTTTCAAAAGGATCTCTGGGTGAAGGGCTGGAAAGCTGACTTTCCAAAAACTTGGAAGAGTTGCTTCTAATAGGAGCAGATAGAAGTGGATAGACAGGCCAAGGGCTGCTTCAATATATTATTTCCGTTGCAGTCAGGCTCCAAAGAGGCTGGTGCAAAGTACTTCAGTACAGTCGTGGGAGGGTTGCTGGTTTTTCCTTTTAGATAGCAGCTCCTCACACGGCATGGGATGCTGCTGCACAGATTCTCCTGACCTTGCGTGGCTTATTGGGAGTCCTGCAGATGATAGCTATCTTCTGTCCCTGCTGTTGGGGGCAGTATGCCTAGGTATACCAGTTGATAGGAATCGCACATAGGGAGGACAGGGAACTTCTGAGTGCATTTGGTGGAACTAGCTTATCTTCTTTGCACAGCAAAAAAGAATTGCCAATCTTGGGTAGGCTTCTAAGTCTAAATGCGCAAATGATAGGAAAGGTAGGGCGAGGCTGACATTCCCAGGATGGGGACTGCGCATGTATCCTTGGTCCCCTACCCTATTCTGCACAGAGTGGGAGAAGCAGGCATACCCACTGTGCACAGGGACATTGGGGAACTGGTGCAGCAACCTTTTTTCCTATATACTTTCTACCCTTATATATTCAGGCTCAACACTGGAAGACGGTATTATTATCCCTTAAAACTGAACCATGGCTATATATCAAACCCACCAAGTTAAAGTCTTCTTTTCAATGTAGAACAGCTATGGGGGAGAATATCTGACTTCCAAGGCTAAATGTCACAGTAAATCACGTAGTATATTGCTTACTGGATCCAGGGTCCAGCAAGATCACAGAAAAATAGGTTCCAGGAACTGTGATGTATCTAACTGTGGCCATTCACTGAGCATATTTGGGTGATTTCCTATTTCTTTTTTTATAGCTATCAACTACCTAAGCTCTCTGAAGCTTTCCAGTCTCAAATCGTGTGTATTCATTCATTTGAAAGTATTTTTACTCTGCTGCTCATCACAACGTGATTGGCGGGTGAAGTACAGTAAAAATTTAAAACCAGAAACAAGGCTTATAGCTAAGATCAGATGAAATCCCCACTAAATCAAATAACAGCAGTAGTGGTCAAAAACCCAAAGCAAGGTGATTAAGCCCCCTTAAAAGCCTGCTGGAATAGGAGAGTTCAGCTGGCACCAAAAATTCATCAGAATTTGCATCCGTCACATATTGCCGGGGGGGGGGGATGGTGGTGGCAGACATTCCGTAAGTGGGAATAAGCCCCTTCCTGGTTGCTGCATAACAGTTATTCCTTGGATGCAGGATAACAAAGTGGGTCTCACCTGCTGATCTTAGGACAATTGGTATGACACTACCAACCAGACAACATAGACATTTTCTTTGCATCTCATGGAAAACCTGTTTGGCCCTGTAACTATCATTTTTGAATACTTTGAGTCTGGAGAAGCAAGTCTAACTTTGTTCAGTGGCCTTCCAAATCTGTGTGCAAAGGCTTGCAGCTTTAGCCTTCAGATAAGTGTAACTTTGAATTCATACAGCGAGGGAAAAGGCGGAGGCTGGGTGCGGCACCTCCTGGCGCCAGCTTGCCGCCCTCGCTGAAGCAGCGCCATGCCCAGAGCCTCCGCCTCTTCCACGCCGGAGGAGCCGCCCTCCAGCCGCTGCCCGCCTCCTCCAGCCCTGCAAAGCTGCCGGCAGCGCCGTAAAAAGGTGAGCAACTCCGGGAAAGGGGGGGGCACTGGAGGGATCTTTGCATCACAGTGCGGGATATATTTAAGATGGCCCTAGATAGATAGATACAACGATGCAGAACAAAAGGCACATAAACTGCAAAGGTTTTGGGTTTTTTTCCTGGGTCATATAAAGATTTACTTGCAGGCAAATCAGTATTTTTATCAAACTGTATGCCTCATTAATTCAGGGATATGAACATTTCAAATGGAACCTTGATTTAAATAAATGATTTAAATCAGTCCTTTTCCTTGCATGCTTGACTCAATGTGATTTAAGTTACTATACCCTGGCCTAATATCAGTCTCAATATGTGAAATCTTGCTGTCCAAATTAAAATCCAGGATTATTATTATTTATTACATGTGTATACCAATCCAGCAAGAGTTCTATGCTATGCATTCTCTGTTTTCATGAACCATGTAATGTGCAGAGGTTAAAGCTGTTGCTTTTTTAAATGTACAATGGAGACTCATGACAAAATCACAGAAAATCCATGTCCCATTGACAGTTGTTGGTCTTGGAGGCAGTAGCAGGTGACCATAGGAATGCAGGAAGCTGCCTTATATACCAAGTCAGGACATTGGTCCATGTAGTGCAGCATAGGTGATATTCACAGCCCTACCTGAATATGTTGGGGAATGAACCTTGGACTTTCTGCAGGCAGAGCAGATGTACTATCAATGAGATATGCCCCTCCTGCAGGGTGAGACAGCAAGATGAGACAGGAACCTTGCTGCTGTCCTAGAAAGAAGATCTGAGACAAGCAGTGTGGGTTTACATTGGGTTGGTATGGAGGGCACATTGTTTTGCTCCCTTCTATGCATGCTTCTACACCACTGTTTCCCAGCAAGGGACAATGTTGAGCTGCAGCTGTTTTGCCCTAGGCAGGGAATGCCCACCTGCAGCAGGGTGGTGGCAGAAGTGATGGCTGCTTCTAATGACAAGCTAACTTCACTAGGCCAACTCTGGTTAGACTTGAAGCTGCTGTGCCAGGAAAAGGATCACTTAAAAAAATACAGTTAAATATTGCAAGAAGACGTGTTTGTATCAATTTCTGCTGGCATGTATTCTTTCATTCTATTATAGAGAAGCCTCTAGCTATAGAGGTTGTTTTAAGAACTTTGTAACATTTAAAGGGGTTAATATGTTAGATAAAGGGTGGTGTGGGGGGGGGATCAAGACAAACATTTTTATTACTGGACATGAGGGGGGTAGTTCTGATTAAATTACATGATTATTTGAATGGGATAGAAGACAGAGTGCATCATTTCTTGCCCTCAACTTTAATGCCTTTAATCAAATAATGACCTTCTGGAAATAGTTAATTTTAAGCATTTGGAAAGATCAATACCACTTTGCCACCAAAAAATGGCCCAGATGATGTGAAATTTGATGTATTTAAAGTACCATTTCACCCTTTTAACCTAGTAAATAATTTAAAATGCTTTCAGTAATCTTTTGCCACCATTATGTATCTCATTGTTCTAAGTATTATGACTTACTTTCTTTTTTCCAAAAGCAACCTTCCTGCACTATGAAGGGCTTGCAGGTCTAAGCCCAAGATAGCACACAGTATTGACTTTAACTTTCCTGAAATACATGGTTGCTTTCCATTTATATTAGTGCAATCATCCAGACGATATGCAATGAGACTTAAATGTTGTTTTTTTTGAGAGGAATTGTATTTTGAATTTGCCTTCTCTCATTTTAGTCTTATGTTAAAGGTGATGAATTAGGTCGCTTAGATTGTTTCAAAAGTCCGTTTTATCCAGTTTGTGGAACATTGCTATAAAATTATGTTTGAATGCCTTCAGCTTTGTAAATGGGAAAAATTACCCTCTATTAGCATGTTTGTGGGCAGATTAAAAACTGTCTTCATTAGCATAAGGAACACTTACTGATTCTTTATAAAACTAGAAAATTATTTGCTGAATGATAAATTGCTAGCTTTACAGTTAGTTGTTGTTGACAATGAGCTCATTCAAAATGCGTGCCGCAGTTTAGTCTACAACAAGACTGAATTCCTTTTTTACTCAGAACTACTGTTTAATGGATTATGTACTTAAACCCTGTTCATACTGCATATGAAATGTAATTCATGCTTTTCACTAAAACGTTTGTATCAAATAGCCTTCTTATTTAGACTGATTTCGTTTAATACTGTATATTTTTATGATACTCTACCCCAGAGATTGTAACACAATACTCCTGCATATATAATTTTGGAAAGGAAAAAACAACGCTCTGAATATTAAGATTAGGCAACATGAATTTGTGCATGGATCTTAAAACTCAGAAATGTTACCTAAATCGTTCAGAGAAAAAAAGTTTAAATGGTTAAAAATAGGGCTACAGACCAAAGCAAAGAGAGCTTTATAATTAAAGGTGTTAGGCATTCACATTGCACTTCAAAAGGCTATTTTCTGGTGGCTAGATTCATCAGCATGTGGGTAGGCATACTTTTTCAAATGAGTGTCTGATTAACAGTCACATTCGTGGTCTAACAAATGGTACACATGCAGTTTTCCTTTGCTGTATCAGGACAAATGGTAGTTTTGCCCTTGACTTCACTAGCATGGTTGTTACACTCAAAAGTTCTTTCCCTTTACTATAGCATATAGAATTACTTTGCAGTAAAAAAATGTTATTTGTTTTTACTAGACCTGTACCATATGTAATTGCTCATTTGACAAATAAGAAATTTGGTGGTCCTTTTGGAAACCAAGGTGTTGGTATTCAGACTCGATTAAGCTTTTTGAGGTCTAAAATGTAGCAATGCTATATATTAAACTATAACAAAAAAAGATAAATAGATGAATTCTTTGAGATGCTCATACATACATTTGATTTATATAATATTCTAAGCACTGGGTTTTATATCCAGTAAATAATTTTTATAGTGCATTCCTTTCATTTTAAAAGTTTTTGTAAGAAAATGCCAAAGAAAATGTAACAACCCCCCCCCCCAAAAACCCTTAACTATCTCTTTTTCACCGTTTTCTTGCTTACTATAGCAAGACTTGCATATGTCACTCAGCTGCTATAAAGTGCATAGCAGTATTTCCTTTGTGGCAGATGGATTTAAAACTTGACTTCTCAATAAATGTAGGTTTACAATACATAACTTTACAGGATTTGTGTTGTATATAACAGGTTTGAACATATTATCTCAGAATTCATCTGCATGGCATTTTCAGCTTATCCCAGGGCCCATGCCAGTTATCTTAAGTAATAGGGAGAAAGTGTACTGATTGATAGCAGCTAAAGGCGTGATTCTGAATAGAAACAAAGGCTTTACAACAGAAGGTGTCAAATTAAACTTCGTCAGTTTGAAAAGTAGTAACATCCTGAAAGTTCATCTAACATATTTACATGTGACTAATGTTTATATTTTGCCTTCTTCCTTCTTTATATGCAGTGTAATGCTGCCTGCCTGGCAAATTTGCTGCACAGAAGTGTAGGATGTTCCTACTGTCATTTTAGGTTCTACTCTTTTTTTCGAAGTATGTACAAAGCCTAAGGGCAGACTTCCATATGTGGTGGTGTGCTCCCATTTAATAGACAGATTTTCCCTTCCTTAAAAAAATTGAACGTGTAATATTTGATGTGCAAAAGGCATATATATTATTTAGAAACTTATCGCCCGCCCTTCTACCGCGTTCACACCACAGAGAGCCACTTAAAACAATGGCAACACAACGTTCCCGTAATAAAGCAACAATAGAAAACAAACCAATATAAAAATTAAAATGGGCATGGAAGATAAAAGCCCTAAATAGAGTTTGCCATATGAAACAAAAGCTTGGTGGAAGGCAAAAGTTTTCAAGTCAGCAGAAAGCAGCAAGAAAGCCTGGGCAAAATGGGGGGAGTTAAGCATCACAGTGCAAGGCACTGTTTCTACTCTTGGCTAAGCTTTTGCAAGTCCTGAGACATTAATTTGCAATGGAGTTTTCCTTGTATAACCCACAGAATTCAGCCCAGTTTTTCCAAATGAAAAAAGAAATGCAGTAGTAGATTTTTAAAGCACCCGATTCTCGCCCCCCAGAATGTTAAGCATTATGTCTTTTCCATTTTCAGTTTTGTTATATGCAGCATTTGAACCAATTTGTGGTTTTATTCAACGACAAATGCTAATTACTGCTTGACATGGCCATTCCATCTGAGAGTGGTTTCTCCTCTGAAGTCTTCAGGGTAGGGATAGTGATGGGGAATAAAAATGGTAGATAACAAAGGCATAGCCCTGTTGACATATGTTTAGTAATTTAAAAATATATTATTTTTGTTTGATGCTGTCCCCTCCTACCATATATTACTAGTAGCATTTCAAGAAATCTCAGTGTTATTTTTAAAAATAAGGAGGTGAGGCGATACATATATTTTTCATATTTTAAGATCAAACCTGAGACAAGAAGCTTTTTAAACTTTTGGCTTCAGTTTTAAATTTTATCAAAAAAATTGGGTGATTTTAATCTTTCAAAATTAGTGGACTACCCTTAAAAAGCTAAGAGATTTGCATTTATACTTGCAATTCATCACACTGTTTGGGGGTGAGGAATTAGAAGTATTATTTCAGGGCAAAGGTTAATAGCAAACTACTGGAAATGTTTTATTAGTCATGGGTAATTAATAAAGATATGTCTGCACTTAAAACACAGAAGTGACAACAAGAGCAAAATACTTGCTAAACGAGTCAATGTTTTTTCTCTTCCTTCCTTCCTTCCGGAATTACTCGTTAAGCGCACCCAACCAAGATTTTTTTAAGGAAATATTTTTGATAACTGTAAAGAACAAACAGTGGCTTCCCACCAACCATCTTCTAAAGTGGTATCAAGATTTAGAGAACAAAATTGATGAGAGATTATGGGGTTTTTACACTAGCAACATCTGAAGGGTACCACATTGGCTAGCCATACAATAGAGTGTGTGTTCAATAGATGTTTCTGTATGTTCGTCAAATGTTAGAGAACACTTACACCTTGGCACAGCCAGCACATATATTGCAAGCAACAGGTAATCCTTACACATCTCCTTTATCTTACCCTATCCAGCCTATAAGCCATGTAAATGATTAGTGCTCTGGCACCTAGGCAACTTGTATGTTAGAGACAGGGAGCCGGATGGGGATTTGACTGGTAGGTACAGAGTAGCTGTTTGGATTTTGGTAAATATATACTTACGTTATGTATCTCATGATACGAAGTACCAGATATTTTAAGGGAGCAAAGAGATTACTGTCTTATGTCTTTATTGAATATTGTCTTACTTGTCCATTACGCCTTTACTGAAATCAAATGATGATTTGAAATAGCTCATGAGAATCCATTCATAATATTGAATCCATGGTAAATTTGCACCATCTTTTATTTCACTGGTCTAAGCAGTAAAGCTGCATTGTATCTGGCACATAGCCTCCTCCACACATTAGAAACCTCCCTATCCTTGGAGATCTAACTGGTCAGGTAGAAAGCTTTTATTCTGACCTGCTTGGTTTCTCTGTGCAGGGAGGAGACCATCCATTCATGTAGGTAACCAGTATTTGCATCTGTAGAGCCAATAAACTTCAAAAACAAAAGTTTTGGGTTGCTGACCTGGACCCACATCTGACCTGCTCTAGCTCTCGTCTCAATCCAGTCAATATTTTTGAAATCAAGACATGACAACTCTGGGATCTGTTATTTGTATGTTGAAGAGCAATCCTCTTTCACTGTTCTTTGGTTGTCTTATTTTAAGGATTGTAGCGCATATGCTACAGAATAGTGATTAAATCCCATTGATTTCAGTAGGAGTTGATGCATGCTGGATTTTCCCCAGATTGTGAAATCCCCAACTTTCTTTCTGCAGAAATGGTAGAATGGTTCAATGAGAAAATTTCTCCAGTGGGCATGTTGGGAATTTTGAGAGAGAGTCATAAGAGACCAGTCACAAATTGCAGGGCTGGCGGTGGCATAACACAAAATGGTCACCACATCGAAGAGAGCAGGAAATGGTGTGGTCATGCCCTTACCCAGTCCTTTTTTTCTGGGGGGACACAGGGGTACGCATACCCCTAAACATTTTGTGGATTTTTAGTTTCTTCTCTAGCACGGTGACTTGTCAGTTCCGTTGCTAACCCAGATGCCCATGTACTGTATTTTTCCCGATTTGAACTATGAAATGGTGATTTTCTTGAGTCAAAATGAGAGTAACCCGACTCTTTATGTATGCTACAACTGTGGTGAGGATGCTATTAGCACAAAGATGGAAAAGCGATAAGATACCAACCAAGGAAGAATGGCAAGAAAAACTTATGGAATATGCCAAAATGGCAAACCTAACTGAAAGACTTTGAAACAAGAACAAAAAATATTTTAAGAAAGACTGGGAACCATTTTCAGCTTATATAAAAAATCAGTGCAAAGAACTAGACTCACTAACAGGTTTTGAATAACCATTTACAATTGACAAAAATTATATAATTTAAAAGTTAAAACATAAAAAGGACTGAAAAAGGGGTACAGTCGTACCTCTACTTACGTATCCTTCTGGATACGAAATCTTTGGGTTATGGCCACTGCAAACCCGGAAGTGTATACTTCCAGGTTTCACCCATGCATGCATGCGCAGAAGTGTTCAATCACGCTGCGCACATGTGCAGAAGCCCGCCTCTATTTACATAATTTCCGGAATGAATTAAGTTCGTATCCAGAGACTCCACTGTATGCAGGAACTGATACTATTTTCAATAAACCAGAGAAGGAGGTTGAGAGAAGTGCGGGGGGAATGGGGAAATTTTGGGATTATGTTATGAAGCAATATTGGAAAAAATGAAAAATTTATTTAAAAAATGAGAGTACCCATAAACAATTTTGTTTTAGAAAAAAAGCACTGCCCTTACCCTTAGCGAGGAAACAGGAACCTACACCAGCCATTTCAGTGCTTGTCTCAAAGAAAAGTTATTTGCCCCTCTCTTCTACTAGGAGCAGGAGGGAGGGTGTCCAGTCCTGCATACGGAGCGGGTTCAGTGTGGGAGTGGCTGAGCCAATGCAAGCTAGAACGGATCAGAAATAGCAAACTGTCTCTCTTGTAGTGTTGATTTTGAAGAGATATTTACTGACACCTTTGGTGGGACGTATGGCTGATACTGGCAGCCATACCAACACCCCCATGTCAAAAGCAATGACCCCCATGTCATTGCACAGTCATACCTCGTGTTGCGTTAGGTTCATGTTGCGTCTTTTCGGCTTGTGAATGCGGCAAACCCGGAAGTGTATACTGCATCGTGTGTGCAGAAGCGCCGTTCTAGTTGCGGACTTTTCGGGGTGTGAACGGCACCCCGGAACGGATTGTGTCTGCAACTAGAGGTACCACTGTATAGGTTGCATTCAAGTTGTGACCTGTTCATTCCTAAAAACCAATAACATTGCAGCCCTAACGGGGAAATGTGGTTCTGGTGTCAGTTCATCCAGGCTGCAGTAATGCCCTCTACATGTTCAGAAATGTCAACTGTCACAAAATGCTGCTACCGGAATGGTAATAATGGGTGATTAACTGTCCAGGGGCCCTTTAACTTACTTTACCTTTACCCTAATAGCTGGTAGATGATCTGCTTACATTACACATAGTGTTTGTATTAACTTTAGAACCCATATCAGTTTGAGACCATATTATTTGAAGTACCATCTATACCCATATGAACCAATCAGTCCCTAAGATCAGCCTCAGAGGCCCTGTTCTCTGGTCTACCACTAAAAAAGGTCAGGTCAGTTGGTACCAGAGGCAGACCAAATGGCCCCATGACTTTCGGGACTCCTACCTCCAAGACCTGTGTTTGGTCCTATTCTGTTGTTATTTCAAATGGATCCTGAAAAGCATTTTATACCATCAAGGTTTTCAGTTATTTTACTGTTGGTTTGCTATATTTTAATTTGATGGTGTTTTACGGGTTGCTTTGATATTCATGATACTATAATGTAGCCTAATTTCTTATATTGTAAGCTGCCATAGATTACTTGACCATAAAATGTAATAATTTAACAATAATAATTTATTTCTCCCCCCCCCCACACTTGAATAAATGGTATGGATTGCATAGTTAAAGCATTCAGAGTTAAATCTGAAAGGGAATTATCAATTTTGTACTAATTTTGTTTATTTCCCTGTATTCATACAGAGCAAACTAAATACTAGTTTCCTTTGTCCTGTTTCTTTAAAACCAATAAAAAAAAAATTCAAATAATGCCACAGATATCATTTAAGATGGCATGTAGGCAATTGCTAAACCGTTAAGGGGGGAAAATCTGTGCATCTATTTTAGAAGCAAATTAGCATTTGCTACAGTTCTCCTGGGACAATCTTTTGGCATACTTTCAAGCCTGCTTTTCCCTAGAACATGCCTGGGTTAGAGTAGGTGCTTTTATAGACAGTTTGCATGTGCTGTGATATGGAGAAGAGTGTGGTCTTTTTCATATCATACATAAAATCGTGAGTTTAATTTTGAAACCAGAAGACTCTGAATTGGGTAAAAGATTTGTCAACAGGTTTCAGTTCTGTCTGCAGAACAACCTGAGCACATGAGCAAGAATGAGGCTATCCTGCTCAATGATGTCGTTTCAAAGGATTGTTCTCTTTCCAAAGGACATTAGAAAACTTCTGCATCGTAAGATTTATGTGAGCCAGCTTTATATAGTCAAAATAGATGAATGAAGCTCTCTCTTATTCAAAGTAAGAAAAATATCACTAGGATTCCCTTTTTTAAAAAAAAATAGTGAAAATAACACCTAATGTGCAAGCTACCAAAATGCTCTTTTTATGTCCTCAGATGAATATGGGCTTACATAAAGGAAAATCCAACTGCAGAGACACAGTAGTGACTGAGAATCCTCTCTCATATATTTGAAATATATGATGCATTGCTGCTTTGTGTGGTGGGGTGGGGTTTTTTTGGGGGGGGGGGTACAAGGGATCTGTTTAATAGAAGCTAGGTTATTATTCCAAAAGTTGGCTTTCTTGATAGTTTTGTACAACAAAATGACTGACTGTTGTTGTTTTTACCAGATTATAAGGCCACTCCTAAGGTGTAAACTATGCCTGCATTCATCCGGTTTCCTTCCAAGGAAAGCGTTTGTATGGTCATGCTTTCTTGTTAAAAGTGGTCTAATATTTTGATATTATCTTAAGGGATGGCTCTGTGAACTCTTGCGCTGGAAAGAAGATCCTTCACCTGAGAACAGAACCCTGTGGGAGAATCTGTCAATGATCCGGAGATTCCTCAGTCTTCCTCAGCCTGAAAGAGATGCCATTTATGAACAAGAAAGCAATGCAGTTCATCACCATGGCGACAGGCCTTCCCACATTATCCATGTTCCAGCAGAGCAGATTCAGGTTGGTTTACCTTTGCCTATTCAGTGTTAAGAAGAAGAACAACAACAACTACAAAACCTAGTTTATCTTGAAAAAGAAACAATTCCTTCTATTTCTGCTCTATTAAATAGAAGAGTTTTAATATGAATAAGATTATTTCAGAATTAAAATCTGCCATTGTTCACCTTTAGTTGAATGCTTGACTTTTTGTGCAATACAGAAGCATGTGTACATAGTACACTAGAATTAATTCTAGGGTTTCCTGATCAGTAGTTCCTCCACGTTAGTTCCAGATTTTTAAACTTCTTTTTTAAAAACGAGCTGGGAAGGTGCAAGAGTTGCCAAAACTGGATATTCACAAAGTAATATGCATGTATTTCAGGCATTTTCTTCTTCTTTTCCGTAGCTCTTGCACCCACAATTGCAGGAGCTGCAGATAGCGAGGCTTAAAAAAAACTGGTGTGCATGCATACCTCTTACTTGTGGCAATAATTTATAAATGTGGAGGACGTAAATATACTAGGTGCCATAATGTTGAAATAAAAGTCCAGTTGATGCAATTGACAATGTTTCATTTAAGTGAAAAACGTGGGAGGAGTTCCAGCCCCAAATTCTTCATCCCACTTGCCCCCCGTTTGAAAATTGGGATGAGTCAATGTTTGTTTGTTTTTCCTTCAGAGCCCCTCTCCCACCAACCTTGGGAAAGGAGAGCATAGAGGCGCTTTCTTACCTGGCCTGCTGACCACTGGACCTTGGCTGGGTGCTGCTCCCCAGGTGAGCTGGCACGAGTTTAATGTGTCAGGGACAGTTATGGAGGGGTTTCAGGACTTGAACCAACAGATTCCTTCCATATAAATACAGAACAGGAAATGCTGCCTCTCTGGGAATGGACGAGGCTTAACTTTATTATAAGCTGCCCTGGTAAAAAATTTTGAAGGGCGGGGGTGGTACAAGTCTCTTGTACTAAAGACAGACCTGGGGGTCAGCCTTTCACTTTCCCCCTTCTTTTCCAAGAATAGATAGCCCCCTGTCCCCTGACTACACTCAAGACTCTGAATCGTTCATATTATTACTATGGAACTATTTACAAAGCCAAAAAAGCACACCTGTGTTATTAAAGATAAAACAAACTGAACAATGGAATATTGGCTGCTTGAAATGATGAAAGCTGAGAAACTTAATGTTTGATTTAGCAAAGCGAGGGAGAGAAAGGTCTGTGCTAAAAAAAACACATTACTGTACTTGCTTGAAAATTGCCAGTTTTCATACACTTATCACTTGTTAATGCATTTTAATACGAGAATAAAAGGAAAAACTTATGCAACCACATACATCCTTAGTTTTGGACATGGTTTCACCTTTTATACAAATACTCATAGTTTCAATCCTGAGCATTCTTAGTAAAATGGATCTTACTAATCCTGTGGAAATTAGCAGGATTTAGGCTAAGTAAGCATAGTTAAGGTTGGGCTGCATGTGAGCAGTAGCCAACAAAGTTGTAGATGTACATAAGTCTCCCTCCATACATGCAATATTAGCTGTGCCATATTCCCAACTTTTGTGGCTATGTATGGAAAATATGTGACCTTTTTAAAAGAGTGCATACATACATATGCAGCATCTTTGTGACCTTGTGAAATTTGGGCACAGCATTTAAATAAATGTCTTCAAAGGCCTGGAAATTGCTTACATAACCTCATTGCACCCAAGTATGCTGGTATAGAATGACATCCTCATGCACAAAACATGTCCCTGCCTTTATATTTGCACAGGTTTCACAGCCTTCTTTACACATGTTTAAGTTCAACTGATGTTTCATTTGATGCTTAGGATTTCAAGCTTATCTCATGTAATTCTGGCTTTATTTAGTTTTTGGAATTAACAGCAATCTAGTCATTGGATTTTTTGAAAACTTAGATGCTCTCGTCATAGTATCTCCTTAAAAAAATTCTGAACCTTTTCACTTTGCCATTAGCAGTACCTAAGTAATAATTCAAAAACACTATTGAGGGATAGGTAAGTACAAGCAGGACTTCCAGTAAAACTTTACACTATAGGGTGTAAAGTTGTTCAGTGATCCAGGAGTCATACCATGCCATGCCTCAGTCCTCATTGGGCAGTTTATGGAGGCGTGATTGCCTTCCCTCCCTACAATTTTTGTAATTCTACAAAATTCAGGCTTCTCCCAAAAATGCTGATCTCTCCCTCCTCTTTCTTGGTTGATTCTATTTTGGCTAAATAAAAATGAGAACTGGGAGAATTGAATTTGCTATTAGTTTAAGTGAAGATGTTTATATGCAACTTCTAAATGGAGATAGTGGGAAAAAAGGATATAGATGGCAGTTATTCTAATATTGTACACCACGTGGCTTTAATTCTCCTTTCTGAAGATGTGTTTTATGATAATACTGTTCAGAGTAGTTAACATTTGGCTATACCATATGTCTTCCCCCCATTTTTTTTTATCTTACGTACATTTCCAAAAGTATGCTGCTTATATATTAAAATTCAGTTTATGATTATTTGACGTACCCAGCAGTAACCCATGACCCACGTAATGCATGGAAACAACCATATTTAAGATATCTGATATGATCTCTTGCATGTAGCAGCAGCTGCTGCTGCTTCCTACCTCTTCTGCAAGTATTCCCCTTCCTTCCCTTTTCATAGCTAATGCTGTCCAACTGCACTAAACACTCATTAGTTGGCAGTACAAAAATATGGTAGAGAAAAGGCATGAACTTTCCTGCAACAACACAGCCCAGAGGCCAAATTCGCAGACTCCTCATCGACTTTTCAAAGAGGAGTTAATCACACAATCCAGACCTTCATACGATCAGCTACTCAGACATAGAGTCCGGTTCAAATTGGAAACTATGAAGGGGAAGGACTTGTGCCATTCCTCCATGATATGTTTCATCACACACACACCCAGCTGGATTGGTGAACTGAGCCCACCGTGACTGTTATTGACATTCAATTTATATATCATTTTTCCATAAGGATTTGTGCCACAAGCAGCTAGCATTACATGTGAACTGATCTTAAATTAACCACGGTTTGCAGGAAACAAAAGTTGGAACTGGATTTGCCAAACCTTTGGCTAGCTATGGTTAGCATCAAATGTATACATGTAGTGCTAACCATAGTTAAAAGGCAAGCGTTGGAGAATCTGTATGGGAAAGTGAGGGAGAAAGAATGAGATGTAGGGGGAATATGGAAACCCATGGGGCAGTCATCAGGTAGTGTTATTCCTGCCCCGGCTCAGTATGGGTAAACACAATTACTTTAAATGTTTTTAAAGAAACCACTATTTCTTATTTCTTGTATTGAACAAAAAAGTCAGTGTGGTTTTCTTTGTCTACCAGCAGCAGCAACAACAGCAGCAGCAGCAACAACAGCAGCAGCAGCAACAACAACAGCAGCAGCAGCAACAGCCACCACCACCAGGCCCCAGATTACCCCCAAGGCAGCCAACAGTAGCATCACCAGCTGAATCTGAGGATGAAAACCGTCAGAAGACCCGCCCACGAACAAAGATTTCCGTGGAAGCCCTGGGCATCCTTCAGAGTTTTATACAAGATGTAGGCCTATATCCAGATGAAGAAGCAATCCAGACTCTTTCAGCTCAACTTGATCTTCCCAAATACACCATCATCAAATTCTTTCAGAACCAGCGATATTATGTCAGGCACCATGGAAAGCTGAAAGACAACTCAGGCTTGGAGGTGGATGTTGCAGAATATAAGGAAGAAGAGCTGCTTAAGGATTTGGAAGAGGCTGCACAAGAAAAAAATACGAACACACTTTTTTCAGTTAAATTAGAAGAAGAGTTATCTGTAGAAGGGAACACTGACATTAATAATGAGTTGAAAGACTGATTGAAAAAGTATTTATTCAACAGTGTCACTGCTATTTAGTAATGAAATGAAAATTCCATCCTGTGTTCTGTCAGCAACCTCTATTCATTGTTTGGCCAATGAATCTTCCAAAACTTGCACAAAAGTTGAAAAAGGATAATGCAGACTGCACTAGATATTTTACAATTTGCTTCAGAGCTACAGATGAAGCATTGAGGATTGTTTCATATTAATTTGTGTTCACTGGGTACACCAAGATGTATCCAATAAGCATGATATCTGTGGGTTGTTTTTTATTATTATTATTATTATTCTAGAGCTTTCAGACAAGCATTACTTTTGTGATATATTGTTTTGGTTTTGGTTTATTTTCCAATTATTACTGTTAACACTCCACACTTGATCTTTGAAAGCTCACATTTATTTAAATAATAGAAGAAAAAGAAGAAGAAGAGTTTGTTACTCTTGCTCTATTGTATGTTACAAAAGAACTATAGACTGTGGGATGCAGTTTAAAGTTAACATATGCCAACAAATGCCTTGTATTATATGGCACTGCCGTAACTCAGATTTGTTTTCTTTTCAGAAATAAGAGGTCACTGTATCTTTTTCATTCTCATTCTCATTGTTACATGATTTTTTGAAAACAAAATGTGAAACACTGTTTTATCCCCATTATTTATTTGTAGATCCTACAGCATCATGTTGTAATTAATTTTTAGAAGTTTCCGTTAAATGTAATATTGCTTCTCTTGTTATCATACTGATTTTTTTTTCTATTTATAAATGTATTTTGATGGGCAGTAAAACAAAGTGTCTTAAAAGTTTTAAATAGAGAAAATGTGCTTTACACAGTTGCCTATAAAAAGTGCTCTATGTTATCCAAGCAATTCATACTATAAGCTTCACTCTTATTGTTGTATGCAATTTTTACTATCATGCAAATAAGCTTAGGTAAATAAAACTAATAGATCACCTTAGAAACTTATGCAATTAATGTGAAAATAATTGATGTTTGCAATGTGTCTTCCTTTGGTTTACAATCAATTTTAAAGCTACAGCTGTATAAATTTTCTGTATAAAGGTGTATTTCTTTTTTATGAGTTTATTGCTATGAAAACACCAGTTATTTTGTTACAGCTGGCTGTTTTTATAAGTGTATCACAATTTTCTTTAAGCAGAAATGTTCTGACTAGGAGTGGTTATTGACTGTAACTACACAATTAAAATTGTTTGTATGGTATGATACGACAGGGTTTGTTTGCTTTTATATGTGTGTTGAAGTAGCATCCTAAAACCTATGTTGGTACTTTTATCCATCACTTTGAGAGAGGTTTCTTCAATTTGCCTCCTTATTTCTTATTTTCAATGACCTAAAACTATGATTCTGACAAACAGATACTTCTAAAGGAAACCCAGTTTTCCTGTGAAAATCATAACCTGTCTCGTCTTGGTTTTAAAAGTTGCCTGCCCAACAGAGATAGCAGGATATTATTGAGTCAAAAGGCTATCAGGCAAAAACATATTTACAGTTCCTGGCAGTAATGCACTTATAATGGATGCAGCTGGTTTTGTTTTACAGTATTTGAATTTATGATAACACTGTTCCTTATACTAATGTATACACATGTTTTGCTTTGTTTTTTAAAAAAACCATTAATAGTCACAAAGTAAATAGGAAAGACGTACAATCCCTTACTAGGCAAGATTATTTTTAATGAACATTAATAAGCTGGTGATATAGAAGTAATAATTATAGGGTTTTGATTTCATATGGACTACATGTTGAGGCTTGTAAGAGCTGAAGTAAGGGAGACAAAAGAGAAAGCTAAAGAATATTGGTATGTTTCTCCAAAATAAAAGCTTATTGAGGAGCCTGAGAGTTCCATTAAATGTTTAAATAGAAATTTAAAGTAATCATGCTAAAAGGATTTAAATTATTACAATCATTATGCCTAGAATAATTCTTCAAGAAAGTGTATTTTAGGAAAACGTTTTCATCATGTGTTTTGCAAATAACACAAGAAAAATTCTACTTCCATTGAAAACTGGTTTATATTTTGCTAGTGTCTGCCATCTTGTTAGCACTACCATTTTTTTCTTTTGAAAGGAATATGTCTGACAATTCAAGATGTGCAATGCAATACCCAATGTGCATTTGAAAATTCTTCAATTTCTGCTTGCCAATAATTGTTTTTCTTCCCTGCAGGTTGTTTTGCTTCCTTTTAGTTTTTCATTGTTGCTGTTAAAGCAGGTACATTAAGATAAATCCAACTGGTGCTAGGTCAACAGCTGATGGAAACTGGGTACGTCCACCAGGAAACTAATGCCAGATTTATGCTAAAGAAAATGTATCATGGGTGTTAACATGTTTTAGATTGAATTGCATGTGTCTGTTTGAAGAAGACGGGGGCAATTAACAGTTCTAATTTAGACAATGATGGGAGAGCAGGTAATACTTACTTTCAGTCCATGAAGTAAGAAGGCCTCTGGAAGGTAAAACATTGGACTGCGGGTGGCACGAGACTAAGTGGACTCAAGCTTCAAATAGCCCTTGAAGGGAAATAATAAACAAGTGCTCTTTACTTGTCAGTGAATCAATATTTTCTGCTTGGGAAAAACTATTGGTGTTCTTGGAAGTGATGATGCTCTGTATTAAATAAACTCCTTTGGGTATGACTACTGTTTCAAAAGCCAGAGCCTGAACAGAGGTTAGCAGCAACTTAGGCAGATATGAGTGAGAAAACAAGTGTCATAAAAGGCTTTCTCATATGGAAATATAAAAAGCTAGCACCAATTCATTCAGCTTCAAACACGTATTTGCATCACTTGAGCACTTATGCTTGTTTTTCCAAGACACTGGAGTACAGAAATGGTCATGCAGTAGTGTTTCACACTAAACACTATTATGCAATAGCAATATCAGGTGGTTGAGTACCTATCATCTTGAAAGCAAAATGGGACTCCACACCCTAAATTGAGTATTTTCTACTTAGTTGTACTCCTTAGATATGCTGAAATATAGAAATCTGTATAAACAACACAAAGTGGGGAGATCAAATAGACAATATGTGGAGTGGGTAAATGTTGAGTGTCAGTTAAAAACAGAACGTTGGGGAAAGGGGTAAATCTGCCTGCTGGAGCCCCTAACAGCTTATTAAATCTTCAGCATTTTAGTGTGAATTTCTCCTAATAAATGTTTGTATACAGTTTCAACGGATGTACACATTTTTTCAAGCAATTTCTCCCAATACTATCGTAAGTAATGTGTTCATTTTTATGCAAATCTTCCTCCATTATATGTATTTCAGTAAACATTGTTTGGGTGGATAACGGATAAATGCAAATTTTAATTATGGCTGTGTTTGGGTTCTCATTTCGAAAAGTGAGAATTTTGATAGATTCAGCTTTAATTGCAAACTGATTCAAATTTCTCTCCATCCCTATTGAGAGGATAAAGTATCAGTAGATGCAGTAGCTCATTCCACACTGCAAACTTCCAGTTCTTGCATATCATTAATTTGTTCTGCATCCTGCTGAAGCTGATTCTTTAAAAATAGAACAGGGTAGTCTTTGAGGTGCCACTAGGCTCACACTTTCTTTTCTCACATATGCGACTAGATACTATAGCATCAATACTGAAGCAATCCTAGATTTTACATGTGAAGGTTAGCTTACAGCTTCAGCATATTATCATGAGTTCAAAATTTTGCATAACACTCTGGCTAGTGTTTGACAGCATTAAAGTGGAGAAATGACAGAAAGTCACATTCTGTCCTAATGGCCTTGAAGGGTGAGAACTATGGATGTATCTTGTATTATTCTGATTTGATTCTGTTTCTAAATAATTAACATAGTAATGACATAGCAGATACTCACAGTTCCAGTTGTGAATGATAAGATTCGTTTGATGATAACCTTATTGATTTTGACATAAGACAAGAGCGCCTTAATTTTTGGCTTTCTGCAATGAGTGATTTCAGAACAATTGTTTGAAAGATTTTATGAGCTGCATTGTATGGCTGGCATCCAAGTAGCTACTTTTAAGTGTACCCAAAAGCTTGAGAATTCCCAGTGGAATTTTTGGCTTTTTTCCTTTGGAACAGATTCCCCCCCCCCCCCGCAATGTACCAAAACTGCTTGTAAATGTTGCTTTAATTTAGTGTTGGTTGCCATATTGCCAAATTTTGTCCAGATTGTAATCATGCCACCCAGCGCCTATTAGCACCAACAGCTGGCCTAGATCCCTAGCTTTCATATTTCAAAAAGAGCAAGTCTCTAGCCTTTGTATAACTCAAGATATGAAGCAAAAATATGCAGGAACTATTCCTCCTAGTTACATTTTGAGAATCCCCTTCCTGCCTCTTAGTGTACTTAGCCAATGACTGAAATTAAGGAAGTACTAGTCATAGAGATGAAAAAGTTAAGAGGGACGCACCAGTTGTCTGGACTTCCAGGTTTCATTTCTAATCTTCTTTTTACTTCTCTGCTGAAGACTTACTGCCTACAGAGCACTTGAGAAAACCAGAATTTAGTGTAGCTGTGACAGAAGATAGCAGGGAAAACACGAGTTCATGCTGTTTATAACTTATGCAATAAAAAGCTTTTGTTTTGGTTTTTTGTTTGTAAACATTTGAAAATATTACCCAGCCAATGCAGATAAAGTTGATGCAAGAGCATGGATTACATCAGCTATGCAAAGTAGCAGAGTGTTGTTAGATCCAGGATGCATCCTGATTTGTTTGCATGGAGGTTATCCATTAAACAGTTATCCAGCCACCAATTGCTATACCACACTTTCTAGTGTATTTTCGTGCCATTTTTCCTTACTACAAAATGTCCAGTTTTTAAATGTGACTTCGTTGAACCAGAGCACTTTAATCTGCTTTAGCTGCATAAACCCAAAGTTGTTAGTATGCAATTGAATCCCTCCTGCAAAAAGTGACAGTCTGTAGGGGAATCTATATTGTTAGAATGGTGAATGAGTAGCATAGGATAACCTTGCAGTTTGATTGGTTGCT